CGAACAAACTTGAACAACTTTTAGTTAGTTGTCTGTAGAGAAAGTTTACTCGTAAAAGATTGACAGAATCTCGTACCTACCTATAATACAGTCGCACTCAATCAAGAAATTTCTTTTATATCGAATTTGCTCTGACATGAATGTAAATATTTGTACATCATTATGCATTGCGAACTCGACTACTCGTTCCATGAAGTATATGTACCGTACGTAAGATGTCGGCTTTCAGTTTTAATAATAACGCGAGCAGCTTCCTTTATCCAATTTACGAGAACTACACTCGCAATAAGGCATACTAAATGACAAACCACAAAAGGTAATCTGTGTGTAAATGTGCAAAATCTATTTGTCAAACCGCAGAAGTGATTAGAGAAATTACTCGCACGCAGATTATTATACGAAGCCAAGGAAATCGCGGGCGAAGACAGGGATTTTCTTAATCCCTTAATGTTTCGTTTCACCACTATCCAGTATTACGTTTCAGCAATGATTATTGCCGCTTAAGTGACATCGACCGTATTCCTTTGTAGTTATTTTTTCGTCTGTTTATATGCTCCGTAATTTTACAAATAAAGCGGGTGAATTAACAAAAAGGTTTTGGATAAACCCTTTGTACTCGACGAGAGCATCATGGTATAACGAAAAAGTTAGCTACTACGGATTTACTTCCCCTTTGATGTTCACTTTGCTTGGTAGGGTACCTCTATAGTTCCATGCAACACGACTTGTTGTTTTGTACATAACTTAATCTGTGCAAATACGGAATATTGTATGTAACTAAATTCGAGCCACCGCTTTCGGTCTTGACCTTTTTTGTCGGAAATACGTATTTCGAGCTGCGAAGTTCAGTAGAAGTCTATAAGTCCAGGCTAAATAGCTCTAAAATAATTTATTTTGAAAAAAATTAGTTACCGGGCGAAACCGAGTTTTTCAGGCAGGAGAAATGAATAGAAATTGGGAAAAAATAATTAAAACAACTGAATTTTTCCGCGGGTGAAATCCCGGGGGTTGAAAGGGGTGGAAACTGTAAAGTTGAACCGTTTCCAAGATCTCACGATTTCTGAAAAAAACACCTCTTTTTCAAGGGGATGAAAAATTTTTTTCTTTTGTTTCCTAGTGCCCAACTGGCTTAATTAATACATCTTTATTATTTCTTTTTTCTGCATTTTTATCGCAATAATAGCAATTCGAAGTAAAATCGAATTCTTTTGCTTCCTGAACAATTTGTTTTTGTTCACTGACTCTTCTTCCTGCCTGTTTTACAGTTGATAGGATTAAGCTGGGCCTGTTGATCGTTAATTTACAGGAATTATGAATAAAATCCTCATTCATTTATTCCAGGGTTTTACATCTCAAATCATTTGCTTTGGCCGGTAAAACTAACGTTTTTATTGCAGATTTTGCAAGTTTATCAACAGGCCCAACGCAATTGCATCAGCTATAAAACAGGCAGGAAGAAGAGTCAGTGAACAACAATAAATTGTTCAGGAATCAGGAAGCAAGATAATTCGATTTTATTTCGAATTGCTTTTATTGCGGTAAAAATGCAGAAAAAAGAAATATTAAAGATGTTTTAACTAAAACAGTTGAGCATAAGATAACAAAAGAGAATATTGAAGCAAACATTAAAGAGAAGAAAGAAGACAGATTTCGAAAAAATCTTTACATCCAACACGTTGAAAATGAAATAAGTGAATAAGTGAAAAAACCACTAGTGCAATAATGTCGCTGGAAAAGTTGCAGGTAACTTTTGCCGCTGTCAAAGTGACAATTGCACTGCGAGTTATGCGATTTTTTATACTTGAGTTGAATTGTCATGTTAAAAACCGTGTACCTATATCTTAAAACTGTTTTTCCAGTTTTTGGCGATTTTCTCGAATTTTTACTATAGGAACAATATTTTTTTATTTTTGTTTATTAAAATATAAGTCCTTCCGAAAATTTTGCTACCCCGCGCACCTCTGTACGATGAAAAAATAGATTTTTCATCCCCTTGAAAAAGAGGTGGGTGTTTTCAGAAATACGTTAGTGAGATCTAGGAAACGGTTCAACTTTACGGGCCCAAAAAATTATCTTCTTTTTTTATCATAAAACAAGCTATGTTTCCTCCAAATTTCAAGCCCCTATGACTTTTTTTCGCAAAAATAAAAATAAAAAACGAAAAATATAGTTTTTCCGGTTTTTCTAGGAAAATTGGAGGTTATGTGAAAATAGTGCAGGTTCATTTTTTTAATCTATATAACTTTTACATTAAACATTTTCGTCTAAAATTAATAGTTTTGCCACAATTTGCAAAACACCACTTTTCACCCCTTTCAACCCCCGTGATTTCACCCGCGGAAAAATTCAGCTGTATTAATTATTTTTCCCAATTTCTATTCATTTCACCTGCCTGAAAAACCTGGTTTCGCCCGGTAACTAAGTTTAAAAAAATATATTATATAGCCTGGACTGGTTGGTTGATGGAAGTAATAATCCCGGAGAGTATCGCGTGTTCACAACTAATGATTTAATGAGTTATCGGTAACTGTACGTTTTTGGTGCGTTAATCAGCTCTTTTTAACTACGTTAATTTGCATTTGCAAAACGTTTTCAATTAAGAATTTTGTCACATACTTAGTGATAACTGAAGTTGTATCCTTCTGTATAGATATTTAGATAATTCCCTACGGAAGAGCGACACTATGTGTCTTAAAATGCTACTAATCAACTGCGGGCAGTCCAGCAACAGGATGTAGAACGAACCAATTGTCTTATTTTTTTCTCTCTCTCTTAAATGCAATTAGTTTCCCTTACTGGCAAAAATGTACAATGGTTATTTCCATTTGGTTACCCCAAATTCGCAAAATTCACTTCTGGGGTATTCAGACGTGCTATAAGATAAGTTAAAAAGTTTATCTCATGTTTCTCCGGTCGTAGATAAGAGTTGAGCTTATCGTCTAAAATTAATCTAATTTTTAAGATAATAATAAAAGAAAGTTTGATGAATTGGGATATTTGAGTACGTCGGTAGAAATTATAGACAAGTTCGAGTTAAAGAAGTTAAATGTTCGTGAAATAAAAAAGAGAAGTTTCTGAACTGATATCAGTTCGTTCTAGTGTTTATGTTTTGCTTTTTTGGATTGAACATCACAGTTTATAATTTGGATTATTGACATTACAAGCTCATTAAGACTTCATTTAACCGGTTTCGATGGACCCTTTGTAGCGTGGTATTTATTTCTGAGTGCAGATGTTTCTTACAGCAATTATTGAAAAATTTGTGTTTTGTGTACAACAATTTCGTATTAGAATGAGTCCAAGTTACAGCCCATGATTTTAAGAGTTTCGTAATGGTGAGTGACTTTATGTAATTGAGTTAGCTGGGCAGGGGCTTTCTGGGTGGTTTAGTGACCGTTTGCCAATACAACGAGCCTGATTCTGTTAAACGGGCCTATTTATACTGAAGAGAGTTGTTTCTATTGAATAGATCTGATTTTAATGAACATATCTGTTTCTGTTTAATTGACCTGTTTCTGATAGACAGACCTGTCGACAAACCGAACTGAATCGAACTGGCCGAAGGTCAGATGGCAAACGTCGACACCTAACTAAAAGCGAGAAACGTACACTTGAACATCACTGTCTGAATCGTCATGGGACTGTCTGGCACAAGTACCCCTTTATCTACTAACACGCAAATGTCGATTACCGTTCTTGAGCACCCCTTTTATCCACCACGAACCAGATCCAAAGCTCTCGCCATAGAGGGAAGGGACGATTTCCACATGTTCGCAGTTCACCTTCCCAAAGCTGAATTATGGCACGCGATACCAGAAAGGATGCTTCCGCTAACTGCCTAATGTTTGAGCATCGAGTGGTAGTTCCACGCCACCGATGCGACAAACTTTGGTAGTAAGTCCGCGCACAAACGGCATGAAAAATTAAATAAGCATTAGCGGAATAGTGATTACAACAAAAGAAGAATAAATAAATTTACAAATTATAGTGACTAAATCATGTAAGCTGACGAAAGTAGCCCCAACCTGCATGTGTTGTCGGCGGAAAGGATGGACGTGCTCGAGCACCACCAAGGGGCATGGCCTTGCCCCTGATGAAACGGCAACTCCAGGAATCGGACGAATCAGCAAATGCCGATAAAGTAAAACAAAATTACGGGAAACACCCTAGCGGAAATGAAAACAACAACCCCCCCCCCCCCCCTTCTTATAAATGAACAAAAAGCTTACTTTGCAATAAAACGAAGCGGTAGAAATTACTGTGCAAGAAAAAGTTGATACGGTGCGGTAAGCTTAATGTAAAAGCAAAAATTAAACGAAATGAATGCAAAATAAATTTACGGAAAAGCTCCAAATTACGATGTCTCTGGCAAAAGTGCAAAAGGGGAAAGATACTCTCTAAATTAAACGTTTACCTCATAATATACACTTCCCATATACGGAGAGGGAACGTAGGAAAATCCGGCGTATTCGGTTAATGCGGTTCAAAAATTAAAACTTATTTAATTTATTTCTCAACTTTTGGTCATCGGGGACAACTTACAAACACCTGAAAAAATTCGAGCGCATCCAGGGACACCTCTCACGACTGATTATGGTAACGTGTACTGCAACACATTTTTTGGCTACTGTTGATTAAACTTACTCAATTGACCGGATTGAAATCCGATTGAAGTCGGTAGTCCAGTAAGGCTCATTGGTAATTGGAATCCCTCAGCTCGCCATAAAGGTCGCTTATCAAAACTTATATCGGCATGGCTTTTCAGTTATATAAACCGTGCTGGTTTGATAGGTATGCGCAGGTGCGACTCAATTTGAATGAAAACGGATATTTAGTGTAAAGTCCGAAATTAATAATAATTAAAGACTCTTTGGCATAATTTCTGATGCATTTAAGACTAAAAACTACCTCAGAACAAATTAATTTACTGGGAATACACAAAAGTATTCGAAAAAACGAACTGTTGGCCTTTAGTTACGGAAATATAAAAGAATAAAGTAGGAGAGGTAATGATTTATTTGAATGCCGTTTTTACAAGAACTTTAGTTTTACCAGTGACCATGATGGCCTAAGATAGCACCATGATGTGCGTGGGTAACAATGGCACCAGCGTGACCGCCAATTAGCGCCCCGTGCCCGTGGACAAATCCATGTCCGTGGACAAGTCCGTGTCCGTGAACGCCAGCGAGGTGTTCAGCACGACCAGCCCAGTCTTGCGATTCCACAAGACCTTCTCCGTGCCACTGTCCATCATCGTGTCCGTGCGCGACTAGTGGAAGATGATGACCATGTCCCCAGCCCCATGGCTTGGCGCTGGCGCAGACCACCAAACACGCAACGATAACAATCTAAAAAATCACATAAATTACTTTTACGCACAAACAGAGTACAAAAACTTACGAAGGAGTTCATTTTCTCTTGAAGTTGGATACTACAATGGTCAGTATTGCTTAACCCTTGATTTTATAGCAAACGCACGTCCTTCATTGTATTATTATGCGTTACAATTAATAGAAGTGACAAATTAATTACCCTTTCATTTGACTCCACCTTTATTTTTCATAAAATCATCAAGTGAGTCGATCCTACGACCATCTTCATTCTGCTGTGTCAAAGTCAATTTTATTATAGTGATTTTTTTGGTAAAGGAACCAGAATGGACCGAACTTGGCACAGATGAATTAACTCATCTACATAAGAAGTGGGTTAAAAAATGCGTCTGAATGTCAAACACCTTTACGGTAGGTAAACGTGCACACTTATAAATTATGTATTAGAAAAAGTAAATCGGTTGCCTTGTGGACATTTATGAATTGTAATTATCCATAAGAACATTTCCTTGTTTTGAGAATGTGACAAAGTTGATTATCTGTAACATTGTGCAAAGCCTTGCATTTCAATACGAACCACCTTATATTATGATACCGAAACATACCTAATAAGGAGTATCAATTTAGGTGGTCTCAGAGAGGGTTGATGGTAGATAGGCCATTTTTGTAGCATACCTGCACTTTTATAAATGATACATGCACCAGACGTAGAGGACACATTGTTTTAAATGTTATAATTTTCTTGATTATTCATAATTCCAAATAATGTATGCAAATGTCATAATAACTATTAGCGCTCTATTGCATAATTTGCAATAAATGTCTTAAGGATGTTACCCTGATTTTGGGAACATTTATGGTTTATGGAGATATTGCTGTGGACGTCCCCAATCACTTAACCAACCACGAGACGCTCTTGGGCTTCAGCAACCAGAATTGCACAAGTTGGGGATGTTATGTCTATAAATTGTTTTGAAAAAATCAAAAGATATTTGCATTTTATGATTCTAAAAGCACAAGGAGCATTTATGAAATTGTGTCAGTTATAGACCAAGTCATAGAAGAGCATGTTTGCAGATTCCAGTGGAATATTTATCTATCTATGATGTGTAAAAAATGTGGACAAAGTTTCTGGATTTTTATACAATTTTGACCTGTTTTCTGGAAACCATGGTTATACAGAAAAGCAACATGAACGAAATTAGCGGCTGCCAGTAATGATGTAGTACGAATGACCCATTTCCAGCAAATGGCCTCTTGTGATCAGCAGGTGGAAGATATGTTGAAGGTGTTGCCACTCGCAGGCAAATTGTCCGCTTAGTTCAAGGTTATCAATTTCAAACTCGCAGCTCGACAGAATCATAAGTAAAACGTCTTCGACACTTAAGCTGGTTTTTACAATGGAATTAAATTTAATTTGTACCATAAACTAAAAGCCTAAAAGAAAACCAAAAGTAACTCCTCTTTCTTGATAAGCTAAAATGTATATACTTACCAACAATCATTGATGGGAATATGACAAATATCGGTCGAAGATACACCTTAATTACGGAACATGCAAATGACGTACTTACGATAAAGAAGTAAAAAAAACACAATTATAAAATCCTCCTATAGAGTTAAAGGCGAATCCGTTCACTAACAATATTTCGGGAATCCAAAAATTAATGAACCCAATCGCCAGAGTTGACTATATATTGATAATGGCAATTAAAATTCCAGGCGTTCTCAACTAAGGACTCAGCTGCTTAATTAAAATAAAGTGCACTTTGTTACAGCTCACAGAAGAAACAGGAAGACGAAAGTCGATAGACGAAAAGCACGGCACCGGCAAAATGCGCGCTAAAATTGAGTGGTACAAATTCCAATACTGGATGGAGCAATCTATTAAATTGCTCCCCAAAAGATACGCGGATCATTCAACACAATATACCGTGAACACAATAATGCTTGTAATTAAGAAAATATATCGTTACTAAGTACAGAACCTTTGTGCTTGAACGCTTTGCTTTTGTTCTACTTTGTGAAATTTGAAATGCATAATTTGTCATTTTTAGCGCATTTTCACAACAATAAAAAAATGCGCTATTGTGGTCACTTTGTCCGTCCGTCTGTCCGTCCGTCCATCCTTGAGGAGGCTACTAGTTCTTTATCTTAAGAGCTTTTTTCGTTATTTGGTTCGTTATGGTGTCGACGCTTGCACCAAGGAAGGAATTGTTTCTGAACCGCTTACACAAAAAGTTATTGTAAAAAAACAAAAAAACCGTTTTTGACATGTTCCATAATTTTACAGTTTTGCCGTTTATTAACGATCTTAGAGATCGTTTATAATTTTGTATTGCTATCTGTCGTCTGTCTGTTCAGTGTTATTTTATCTGTCTGTCTATCTATCGTTCCGTGTGTGAACGATAAAGAAATGTCTGATCGCTTTGACATCTCCGTTGTTAGTTATGAACTGAACTGCAAGAAATTCAACATGGGCATAGCTTCAGCCATATAATACGCAATGCCAAAAGTTGAGTCGAATCGATTCAAAATTCACAGTGCCCTTTTTGCATCTCGACCATTTATAAACCGAATTGCAAACTTTTTTATTTATAAAAGTATTTAAACGAAATTTGATACATAGGCGCTTGGAATAAATGAAGATCTGACGCCAGTTTCAAAATTTGGTTATGCGCATGCGCAGTGCCAACTTTCTTATTTATGAAAGCATTGAAATGAAATTCTTCTTATAAACTGAAATTGAAGTAGCACGTCAAAAATGGATTGCATCTATGGAACGCTATCTTTGATATTTGTGGCCGGATTTTTACGATTTTAACAGAAGTTGCATCTTGAAAATGGGGTATGAATGCAAGTGGAAATGCGCTTATGTAAATCGTTTACTTTTTTAACTTGTTTAAGAGTAGCTTAGGTTTGTAATACGGCGTTTCCAGTAAAACAGTAAAAATAAAGTTTTTGTTTTTCATGACTAAAATTAAAAAAAAATATAGGTTGTGTATATTAATATAATCAGAAAAAAGAATGGAACAAATTCCCCTTAAGACATACAAGACGTTGCATTTAAAAAATACCAACTTTGGGTCAAATCTCAGAAACGAGGGTCCAAAAAATTGTTTTGACTGCCCCACTGGATTGTACGTAAAAATATGTAATATAGACAGTTTTTACCTTTTGCATTGGATGCGTAAGATATGATATCCTAGAAAGTCAAATTTTTCGTTTTCACCCTGTAACTAAGAAACAAACGTAGCTAGACTATTGATTCTGGTAGTGGTATTAAAAGTATCACAAAAAAGGGCACAAGGTCACGAAAACCGCAAATTTCTATCAAACAGCTGAGATACACTGCAGTCTCAACCAAAATAGGACACACTGTACAGCGTGGTTCAAATTTGTGGCTCACCATTGGGATCTCCGTAACTGTGAGAGATACAGTGTAGGTTAAATGGGGACAGTTGCTCTTTTTATGACTAGAAGACGCATTTGGAATTTTTGAAAAATCTTTGAAAATAACTGACATCACCGAAAAACTGAAAATGTCAAATTTCGTTTTCATTTTTCGTACCTTAAACGGTCGGATATGGAGGCACCTTCTATAAGCACTTTTTTCGGGGAATCTGCATTCTTTATTAGAATTTCCATAACACGCTAGATGTCGAAGTTATGGGCTACTACTTTCTTATGGACGCCATGTTGGATTTTTACAGAATGACGAAAAGAGAAAATAATGACGTGCCACACTTTAAACTTTTACATAAATTTGGGGTATGATGGCGCTGCATTCAAATGAATTTCGTTTGTGTCCCCTATCCCATTTCGTAAAAATCCAATATGGCGCCCATAAGAAATTGGTAGACTGTAGCTTCTTCACGTACCTACATCTAGCGTATTATGGAAATTCTGATAACCCATGTGTCCATAGAAGATGCCAACGAAAACCGTCCATTTCCGACCGTTTATGATATCGAATTCGACTTCATCATTTTTTCGGGAATATTTCAGTTAAATTCAAAGATTTGTCAAAAATTTGAAATACAATCACAAAAAGAGGCAAATGGTAAGTTTCAATTATCAACTCGTACGCTCTGTTTGTTTACAGAGAGTTTACAAGAGTACATTTACTATATGATAGGTATAAATATTCGTGTTTATCTTACGTTACAAAAGACAACAACCGTTAGCACCACTCCGCGAGCTGGCTCGGTTGTTGTTTTGAAGCGAGGATATTTTTGTAAAACAAAGTTTAAATTTAATTTAAGCATTACACGGACACAATCATTGTTAAAGTTGATGAGCATATAAATGAACTATTTAAGAAAGAATGTCTCAATAACAATAAAGACTGAATTGTTAAACATAAATGTGATATATTCATTGCTATTCGTCTCAAATGAGGGGTTGGCGACATAATTGTATTCCATTTTTATGGCGCAGATGGACTAAAATTAAAACAAGAGTCAATGCTCAACAGTAAACTTACTTTGTTTCAAGTTGCATTTCGACCTTTTACGAAAATGAGGTGATTAATAAACAAACACGTTGTGCATGGCTGAGTTTGATCATTTCTAGTGGGTGCCAAACAAATCCAGAGTTACTAATTTGTCATCGTTTACTAAAGCCCAGAATCCCATGTCTATTTTATTTTATAGCTTTTTTATACTTAAATTGGCAGAATTTCAACTTAGGGTTCCCCACCAACCGAACCTGAATTCAAACCAGGAACCCTCTTGTGCGTACCACCAGATTCCTCAATTAACTTAAATACGTACTCCCTATGAAAAAATTAATTAATAATAGACAAACGTCTGGTTTTATTAATTGTGACTAGAATCATTTAGGCCTACAAACCTCAACATTCCAATTACATTAATTTGATAACGAAGGCTGCAACTCCTACGTATCAATTAACTAATTAAATTCTAGGTCTTAAAGAATAAAACGCAGTTTAGATCAGGCTAATTACAACGTGATCTTTAACGACGGCAGCGTTAATTGAAGGCAGGTCTCCCTGCATATTTATCTTATTTCCTATCTTCGTTTGAGTTAAATGGCATTTTGATAATCAGGAGTGAAAACTTAATACACACGA